AGTCATCAGAGGTCTCTCTACTACTGCTTTTATACTAAGAAATTTAATTTTCTTTTAGTTTAATAGAGCTGATTTGTGTGTTGGGTGAGGAAAGGTATGAAGTGAGAGAAAAAAGCAATGAATTGTTGTTGTTGTTGTTGTTGTTGTTGTTTGTTTGTTTTTAAAGACAGAGTTTTGCTCTGTCGTCCAAACTGGAGTGCAGTGGCATGATCTCGGCTCACTGCAAACTCTGCCTCCTGGATTCAAGCAGTTCTCATGCCTCAACCTCCCGAGTAGCTGGGATTATAGACATGCACCACCAATAGCTAATTTTTGTATTTTTAGTAGAGACGGGGTTTCACCATGTTGGCCAGGCTGGTCTCAAACTCCTGACCTCAAATGATCCACCCGCCTCATTCTCCCAAAAATCCTCATGCTGGGATTACAGGCATGAGCCACTGTCCCCTGCCTGAATGGGTTTAAGTGGAAGAATTTTTTGAATTTCAAATTTTGGCTTAGATTTCTTTATTATTTAAGAAGCAGGTGGATTTGAGTATAATATTAATAATAAGCAGAATGACATAAGCCATAATAAGGAATCTTTTACTTTTATATAACAAGGTCAAACAAATAATGCCAAAGTCATGATCTTCCTTGTTCGTCCTGCAAGAAGTCTGATCTGAAACAGTGCTATAACATATTGTGGTGTTTTTTAACCAAACAAAGTTCAAAGAATTAACTTGACAAAATTCCTGTCCCTGGACCTTTTTTCCCTTTCTGTTTTTCCCTATCTTCTTCCCTATGTCTCATTAGCAAACTGATATCTCCTTCTAGCATTTTGAAAGGAACTGCCTAAAAACCAGAGCCTATTTGTAGTTGTTATCCTTCTCCCTGCTTTCTTTTGAATTTTTGCAGTAAAATATTTTTAACCATGTATCTTTATACTTTATTACACTTGTATTCATCATCCTTCAGCATACCTTCATTTTAATTTTTTCCATGGAAATAAACACTCCTATCCCCTTGCCACAGAAAAAACTCACAGTTATTCCCCAAGCCAATTTAGAAACTGGGTGATGTAAGCCCTGGTATACTTACCTGCTACACCGGCCCACTGTCCAAATGCCACTACCCGTACTCCTCTATGATCCACCATTTTCTCATAATCAATAAGGCGAATTTCCTGAAAGGGGGATTAAAAATTTTTCAACTGGACCCATTAGGCTTAATTTTAACAAGTAAAGACATATATGAGCAAGTAAATATTTCACATTTTTTCCTCTGAAATACATCTTGCCTTGCTAACAGAAGTTACCATCAGGTATACCGTGAAATATTTAGAAAATGCCAGGTAGCAAACCAATGGTAGGCTTGTAATTAGAAATGAAAAAAATGTTCGTAGCAGGTGCTATACCCCCCTTGATGGTAGGCAATGAAATAATAAAGGTAGAATTTCCTTTACCATTTTGGCCCCACCCACCCAGCACCATCTACAAACATATCTATAGCCCCACTCATCCTTACATCCTTCCTTCTGGTCGAAGAAAACAGATCCCTTTTGAGACAAATCTCTGTAACCTAGATCCCAGCTTCTCTCATGTCCTCCAAGACCACTCTTCTTGAACTATTACCTCTTTCTTGCATCATCCCTCTTTACATTGTTCCTCAACCATTCTAAGTACACTCAGGTCTCTTCTACCTGGAAAATAATAACACTCTCTCTCAAGTCCAAGCACAGATGTTTTTCTCTCTCCTCCTCCTCCTCCTTCTCCTCTTTTTTTCTTTTTCCCTCTCCTTCCTTTTACAGGTGACCTTCCTCTTAAAAGCAGTACATGATTCCTTTGAGTAACTCAGGCCAAAACCTGGAGTCATTCCTGAGTCCTCTCCTTTTCTCATAGTCCACCTTTATGCCATTTCTCTTCCTTGCCTTCACTAAAAACATATTCTTCCTCTTTCCTTGAAAACCTTTCCTCTCTCAGGAAAGTATTAGTAATTCATGCTTAAAATATATTAGTGTATTGTAATTATACACGATTTTAAACAGTAATTTTATTTCCTCAAAGATCATATAATTTTTATCATGTTCGTGAATTTAAGAATGTTTATCATTCTTCCAACTCCAAGTAATTGGTTACAAAATGCTGCCCAAAAGCAGTCCTGTTAGGTCAGTTTTTGTTAATTTTATTATAATGAACAAAAGTTAAAATAACAAAAAAAGTTCCTAAAGTACTTTATAAAGATTTTATTTGCTTAAAGTGGAACATTTTTCCTATAGTATTATTTCCATTAATTACTTTTGAACTTATTCTTTAGAAACACTACAAATTAACTGTCACCCTGGTCTACTGTATTTGGAGTTAATTGGAAAGTATTTTACACTTCTATATAATAGGTATTTTCCATTGCTTTTACTGTTTATGAACTCTCCAATCATCTGCCCTAATCTCAGATTCTAGCTGTAACATCTTGAAGATGTGAACCTTAGACTTCTTTTTCTATACTCCCTTCCTAGGCTCATCCAGTCTCGTGGCTCTAGACACCACCTAGTCTCTGACAACTACAAAATGTATGTCAGAAGAAGCTGCCGTCCTGAACTTCAGACTCATATCCAACAGCCCTCTTAGATTATCCTTTTAAATGTCTAATAGAATATTAAACTCAGCAGACCCTAAACTCAACTCTTGATTTGCCCACCCAAGGCTTTTTCTCTTGTAGTAACATCACGTCATTCCATGGCAATTGCTTCGAGTAGCTCAGACCAAAACCTGGAGTCGTTCCTGACTCCTCTCCTTTTTCCATATTCTACCTTTATGTCATCAGTGAATCCTGTATGGTCCACCTGTAAAACACATCCAAGATTTGTCCACATTTCACAACTTCCACTTCCACCATTTCTTCCAGGTGCAGGCCACCATCACTTGTGACTTGCAGTCTAGACCAGCCTAGATTAGCAGCCTTCTTAGTAATGTTGCTCTCCTCCTCCCACCTCCAACCATTATTGACACAAGAGACAGAATAAGCATTTTTGAACATGGTCTACTCTAACCCCACATTCAAACAGACCTTCAGGCCTTTGCATTACTATTCTGTCTGCTTAAAAGACTCATCTCAGATGTACATGGCTTGGTCCTTCACCTCCTTCAGATTGTTGCTCAATGCCACTTTCACAGTGGGATCCTCCCTGACGATCCTACTTAAAATAGCATCATCACCTCCCAGTGCCCAGGACTCCTTTTCTCCTTCAATATTATATTTATCTTCATCACACATATTCCCAAGTGGCATATTAGATGTCTTAGTCATTGATTATCTGTCTCCTCCCACTAGAATGTAAGTTCTGTGAAGATAAAGATACTTTACTCTTTTGCTCTTGCATTGGAACAGTGTCAGACATAGCATCAGCACTGAGTAAATATTTGTTAAATGAATATCCTGTGTTTTAAACAGCTGCTAGTTTTTATCATAGTATTTATATCTCAAAATACATTTTCCCTTATGAATATGAATAAATGTAAAAAT